AAAGGAATTTTTATTTGTAGGTAGGTTTTTCTTTTAACAAAGAGCACAATAGAAGTCACTAGTGTTTCAAAAGTAATCCCCTTAGCTTAGTATTCTCATTTTTAAAAAGCCTTTGTACAATAAATAAACTGTGCTAGGCCGTAAAAATGTATTTTTATAGCAAAAAAGAAATCATCTTGGCCCTCCTCATTTCTCAACCCCAGCGTGGGTGCATCTCTCTCTCAAAATGATTATGTAGCCCAGTGGGCCTTGTGCCAACAAACTTTGGTTAAGCATAAAGATAATTTTTTTTAAAGTAAGATTTATGGGTATAAAATAGAAGTGTTGTTTAACAGAGGCCAAAAGAATATGTTTCTTACGATTTTAAAATTTACTTTTAAATTTTATATGCTTATGAAATCTATAGAATGACAGATTTCCTAAAGTAGATGATGGGTTAGACCAAAAGAGCAAAATCCTTTCAAATTCTCTAATTCTGTAATCTATATTGTTAGAATGACGGATATCCACTGGGGATGGAAGGGAGAGGGGTTGCCAGGGGCCAAGACTAGAGACATCACCAGAAAGATGACATGTTAGGATCAGTTGGGAAGGTTTTTTTTTAAAATTATCATTTCATGCATCCATCCCACATCTCAGGATTCTGATTCAATTACAGGGAGAGGGTGTAATTGCTGAAAACTCACCCCATAAGGGTGAATTCTGTATGTATCTTCTCCTCCCACACTTAATCCCCCCAACATCAGACTGAGAAGCCCTGTGTTGGATAATTCAGCTTACCCATTAGAAGGCCATCACGAAACAAGGGGCAGAGTGGAGGGGAAAGGAACCAGCCTTTTGGGAGCACTATATATGCTCCAGCTGCTGTGTGGACAGCCGCTCTTTGCAGATGGGGGCTCAGGCAGGTGTGCAGCCGTGGCATCTCTGGAATCCCTTATGTTTAATTCCTACAAGGAAGAGTTAGGAAATTAGACAGATTTCTGTGATTCTAACGCATTAATGGAATGTTTTCCCCAGGACCCCTGAAGGAGGGTATGATCATTCCTCCTATGGTCTCATGTTGCTCTGTGTTGTGTAATGGCATTAACATTCTGAATATGTCATGTTCTCTGACTGGCAGACCTGTGGGTGGCTAGCCAGAAAAACCCATCACAAGCAGAAGGGACCCATCCACTGTTTATCAACTGAAATCAGGTATTACTCAGAAGCCTTCTACTAATGGTTGCAAGACTAAAGATCTGGGGAAATAACCAAGCAGTCCAGCATTTAGAAATACATTTATAGAGTATAATACTAAAACAGTAGATGAGAGGGAGGTGATATTGTATGGTTCTTTAAGGTTTAATTTATATGCCTCCTATCTCTAAGTGACAAGTGTGGTCTATACACGTTTATATCTCTTAAGGGTAATTAATGTGTTCTAGCTTTTGATGGTGAAGAGAAATGAGCTGCAAATTAGTCTCTATATTCCTACAGACCAGGAGTTGCAAGCTGGCAGCACACCAGCCAAACATGGCTTGTGGATACATGGCTTGTTTGCCCATTATTTTGTCTTTCTAAATGTAAATATGTTTCTAAAATTCCATCCACAAATACGTTTATATATATTGCTTTAGTATAGGCATGAATTTTTTTAACATAGCTACATTAACCTTACCATATTTTTTTAAAAACAGCAATAATTCCTTGATATCACATATCTGGTCATTATCCCATGATATAATTTTTAAAGATCGAGATCTATATAGGTTCACAGGTTGCAATTGACTAATTCATACTTTAAATCTCTTTTAGTCTCTACTTTCCCACTCTATCTTTTTTTTTTCTTTCCTTGCAATTATTTGTTGAAGAAACTGTGTTGTTGGTCTTGTAGTTTTCTACAGGCTGGATGGTGCTGATTGCATCCCCGTGGTGTAGTTTAACGAGGTCCTGTGTTCTCTGTATCCTTGTAAATTGGGAGCTGGATCTAGAAGTTACATTGTGTTCACCTTCAGTTTATTTATTTATTTACTTTTATTTTTCACTGGACTGCTCCATTGGCAGTGATATATTCTTCCGTCATTTCTCTTTGTGATGTTAACAGTTATTGATGTCTGAGGTCTAGATAGAGCAACATGCTTTAAAATTGGAGATTTCACAGAAATATCTGAATGCATAACCTATTTGGAAAAAAAACACATAATCCACTAAAAATTAGCACGAGCTAATTAGCAGCCACCCACTTTAGGTGAGGCATGTTCTTTGGACTCAACAGTCCCCACAAACCCACTCCTTAAGGGTCTGTACTTGGTTGGGCTACTCTCTTACTTCTATCACCTGCAAATCTCCTGGAAGGATTTCAGTTTGCAACACCTTATGTAGAATTTTCCACTTTAATGAAAATTAAATAGACACTAGAAGGTTGTTTTCTTTCTCCTTAATTGAAGCATGTAAACAAAGAACACTTAGAATAGGTAAGGAAGAAATGAGGTATTGGGGGAAATATTTGTATAGAAAAAGGGAAATAATTTTTGCTGGTAGAAGATAAAAAGCAATAAATACGAACAACTAGTAAATCAAACATATCATGTGTGGTTAAAGGATTTGTAGTTTGAATATATACTATGTGAGAATGACAACTCAAGGAGAACTTAGCAATCTCTCAAACATTTCTCTCAAAGATGGAAATATTTTATGTCCAGTCTGAAATCATGATAGGTTTAATTTACTAGAGTCTGGTAGTATCAAGGTATCATTTTCAAAATACAGTTTTACCCTGCCAGGGTTTAAATTATTTTAGTCTAACTAGATCGCTTCTTCATCTGTCTTACTTTCCTCCTTTGGTTATGAATCCCTTACAAGTTAGACACCTTTGTGTTTTCATAGTAAGGTCTCTGGCTCACTTGTTTATAAAAATGAAGACGTTCTTAAACTGTAAGCAATGTCCTAGAAAAGAAAGTGAAGTCAAGCTCATTGAAATCCATAAAAAGAATGAAAAGAAAAAATATTCTGCAGCCTGGTTAACCTCAATGGTAAAAGAGTAAAATCATTCTGAAATGGTAAAATCACTTTCCTCCTAAACCCATCTTCTTTAACATTATCTTGGTTTTTATTCTCCAATTCTGCCTTGAATAATGAGGATCATTCTTTGAGCCTAACAGATGTTAAAATAGTATTTTTTCTCTTATAGGAAACTTTATATCTACACTCTCAGCATTTTGAGGAGAGAATGGAATTAAACGCAAGTGTTATTAACATAACATTCTATGTAGTATTCCAGGAACAGAAAGCTCATTAAGAGCATATGCAACAACTTTTCCAGTGATCCCTGGGGAGATTTCTGGAAGAATTATTTGTACTGCGAAGTAACCGTAGGAGCTCTGTGTTCATTTGTCAGTAAGGGCCATTAAACAAAACATACTCAGAAAAAGAAAGCAGAGAGAAAAAATCTGAATAATACTATTTATTCTTAGACATTGCAGCCAGGCCCACCAGACATAGATTAATTCACTAAATAAGCAATTATTAAGCATTTATTTTGTGTTAAAATAGATAGAAAGTATGACAACTATTCTGGAAGAGCAAGCAATCTGTTGAGAGTGGCAGACTCAAAGAATGAGTTACAAAAGGTGTGGTAAGTGTTCATACAAACATGGATAAGTTGTTGCTAGAACGCAGAGGAAAAAAAGGAATTATGTGCCTCAGGGAGTCAAGCAAATTGTTACAAAAGGAGGAATTTTGAAGTGGGACTTGACTTCCAAAATGAATGACAGGAAACATGCCAGGCAGCAAAGAACAGAGAGAGAAAAGCCAGTGCCAAGGGGCAAAGAATATATTGATAACATGTCTTCTATAACACTGTGTAAAATATAAGATTTTATATAAAATCAGATGAGTGGTAGCTGGCAATGTTTAGGGGGCTTGATGATGTCAGAGTTGGCTTCTCAAATTCTATTGGTCCTCATACTTATAATTTCAAAGTCACAAGATGGCTGATATTGCTACTGAAGTCACGTACGCATCTGAGGCAAGAAGAATAAAGGAGGAATTTTATCAGCAATGACCATCTTTTTTTGTCATGAAAATGAAATCTTTGTCGGAAATGGCCAGCAGAGTTTCACTTACATGGGGTTAGCAAGAAGCGTGCTAATATCACCACCACTTGCAGCAATGAAGGCTGGGGTTGGAGATATTTATTTATTTATTTATTTTAAAAGACTAATTTATTTATTTGAGAGAGAAAGAGAGTGTGAGTGCGCTAAGGGGCATAGGGAGAGGGAAAGAATCTCAAGTAGATTCCTTGCTGAGCAGGGAGGAGTGACATGTGGAGCTTGACTTGGGGTTTGACCTGGGGCTGAATCTCAGGACCCTGAGATCATGACCTGAACCAAAACCAAGAGCTGGTCGCTCAACTGCCTGAGCCACCCAGGTGCCCCTGGGGATGGGGATATTTAGCTGGCATTTGGCTTGAGTATTCTCTTAGAAAAAATAATGCAAAAATGGATACTGGATAGGCACAGATTACAGTCTCTACTAGGTCTTCAAGAGGTGGAGAGAAAATAATGACAATCTAAAAGTCCATAGCCAATGGAAATATCTTTCAAGAGTTGGGAAGGAATAGGTAAAAGCAATCTTTCATGTTAGAATTTAGAAGAAAGAACAGGGAGTATTCTTGGAAAGGGACACAAGGAAGCCTTCCAAAATGTGATAAAATGCAAATAATAATACAAAACAAAACAACTGGGAAACATGTGGGTAAACCTCCATAAATAAAGCTTACCTATATAAAATGATGATAAGAACAACCAATTTGGTAAGGTTACAAATAGGAATAAACTAAAACACTAGACGATAACATGCATGAGAGCTACAACTTCTAAAATTCCATTTGTCCTCAGGTGGAAGATAACAATACTAGTTAATATTTTGTTGGTAAAGTGTGCATGTCAAAATTGTAAGCATGGCAGTCAAATAAGAACTTTATCTGCTTTCTCTTCGATCTTCCCTCTGCTTGCTTTGACATGAGATGGATCAGAAACTTGTCAAGAAAAAAAGAACAAGGGGATGGACAAAGCCTCCTGAAGAGAGGGTGAGTACATATTCCTTTTCCAGTGGAGGGCAACCCATCTCAGAGGGGAACGGGAGGAATCTTCTCTTTAAACGATGACTATTGTGGCCATTAATATACTGGGCATTCTAATTTGTAAATCAAGACTATGTTTTTTGTGGTTCCCCATTTCTGAGTGGATTAGAACACACGTCGTCCTCTCCTCTTACTTATTTTTGCTGGTTTTGTTTTAATTTAAAGTAACTATTAGGCATCATATTACCTAAGAATTATCAGAGAAGTCATGGATTACCTGCATTTTTACCTTGGGACAGGGGTGAACTTGCCTCAGTGAATCCATTTTTAATGAGTAGCAGGAGACAAATATAAAGTTGCTTCCTGATTATATCTTATGAATCCCACTTATTCAATGACCCATTACATTCATACATTAAAAGCTTAAGGGTAAGGACCAGAAAAACAAAAAAACAAAAAAACAACAACAGAAATAGAACATGTAACTCTCAAATCAGTGGAGGAGAAAAAAATGGAAAAGATTCAAATTAATCATTGAGAAAGTGGGGGAAATTTGCACAGCACACTCTTGGGTCAGGAATATACCAAGAAGATAACAAAACAACAAAGAGAAAGCGAACTGTATTGTTAAGGTAAGTAATTCCAGCTGCTCTGTTTATCCACTCCAAAATGCCAGTGACTTAAGCAATTAAATTCTTAGTCATAATAAATACGAAACAGGTGTTGCTGGTCAGACAGCTTATCTCTACATGATGACTCAGAGATCCAGGATTCTCTATCTTTTGGTTGCCATCTATCTCCCAGGGCCTGAAGCTCAGGTAGAGGGTGTTTTATTTATCTATTGCTGTAGAATAAATCATTCCTTGATTTGGAAGCTTAGAGAAGCACTATTGACTACTTTGGAGCATCTAAAGTTCAGGAATCCATGCGTAGCTTAGTGGCATCCTCTACCTTAGGACCGCCCACAAGGCTACCATCAGGGTTTTGCCTGGGGTTGCTTTCATCTCAAGGCTCAACTTGGGAAGAACAACTTTAAGCTCATTCACTTGTGGTTGACAGAATATGAGTCTGTGTAATTTCCTGTGTAGTAAGACCTAGTTTCCTCTTTGCTCTTGACTGGTGGTCATCCTCAGTTTCTTACAATGTGGGCCTCTCACAACAGGACAACTTTATGATATTGGACAGTAAGCATGCCTACTCTTGTTTCCAGAGTCCACACTGTTGCTCTCTCCCAAGGCTTTTCATGATGCTGGACCACCAAGAGAGACGCTATTTCTCCCACTGATCAGCGAGGGCACAATCACAGAACTTCTGCCACAGGTACTAGTTCTAGAGCAACACCACCTGTGCTGTGATCAGGAAACAGCCAAAGCAGGCAATAGTCGACCAAAGCATCAAGTGGCTACAACGATGATCATGTCTCTCTAGCTTAATAGAGGTCTCACGTCCTTTCTGTACGCCACAGAACTCAGTTCGTAAGGCTAACAGAGATTAAATTACTTCTAAGACCTTAGCAATGAGGGCATCTCAAAAATAGATTTTTTTCATTAGCTTTCTAATCCCTGAAATCCAAGAAAGCATATTAGCAGGCATTGGACATGGGCATTTAGAGGGACAGTCTTCATAGCCAACATTCTTCTTATCGACTCAGTCACCTCTTTTGTTCTTTATTTATTTTTAATTTTGTAAACATTTTATGTGGGTATAGTTGACACACATGTTACATTAGCTTCAGGTGCAGAGCAGAGTGATTGGACAAGTCTATATGTTATGTTACAAGTGTGGCTACCACCTGTCAACACGCACTATTACAATATCATTGACTCTATTCCCTATGTTGTACATTTTCTTTCCCTGACTTATTCATTCTGAACTGAAGCCTCTGCCTCACTCTCCTCTGCAGCCCATCTGCCCCCCCATTCCTAACCCTTCTTACAAGCACCAGCTAGTTATCTGTATTAATGGGTCTGCTTCTGCTTTTTGTTTGTTTGCTTATTATTTTTTTTTAATTTCCTTGTCCAATGTTTCCTACTCCTTTCTTTAGAAAACTCTCCCTCACTTACATGGGGAAGAATTTCTATTACCTCAGTCCCTTTTTATACTTGCAAAGTCAGCCCCCTCAGAAGTGAGTTAAATATAAACACAAGAAGGAGGGTGAAGGGGTTGGTGGCAACATTTCCCCAACCCTCAGGTGGAATACATCTCCTTCCGGTACGCATCTCTCTGACTTTGCCTCTGCGATGGGGTGACATCAGATATGATTAGGTTCCCACTGACTCCAAATAATTCCTTCTTATCCCCAGAGAGGAGGAGAGAGAGAAATCTTTAATCCTGTTGCTATTATTTTTTTATTTTAAATTTAAATTCAATTAATTAACATATAATATTAGTTTCAGAAGTTGAGGTCAGTGATCCACCAGTCTTATAAAACACCCAGTGCTCATTTCATCACGTGCCCTCCATCACGTCCCTCACTCAGTTACCCCATCCCCCCACACCCCTTCCCTAATATTATTATTCTTCAGTGTTTCAGATAACAGAGGTCACAGTAGTATTTGTCGGCATTTGTTAAACATTTGTTAAATTTTGTTCTCAGATGTTGCTAAATATTCCTCTAATTAAGAAAATATAAAAGCAGTTGATCCCATAAAAAGTTAGGAGCTTTTTCTAATATAATGCCTTTGGGAGAAATTAGACAGTGAAAAGTTAACTATAGTTTCTTATGATGGTATTTTGATGATGACACAAAAGGGAAGTGATAAGAAGGTTAGATCCTGGTCATAGGTAGTATTCCTCCTACTCATCTCCATGGGATTCTCAGACTCAGCTTGACTTCCTATTTTTCTCTTAAGAAAAACACCCCAACTTGGTTTGGGGCCCAGTCATGTTAGTTCAAAAGGACTTACCACAGAAGAATGTCTCCCTTAATAGGTATATCCAAGCTCTAGGGAGAAACATTAATACCCAACATGGGGAGCCATTCTCCCAGACTGGGAAGACAGGCTGTTTGTGGGGCAAGTTCTCTGTGTTCTCCACTAGTGGGGAAGAAAAAAAAAAAAAAAAAAAGGAAGAACAAGAAGAAACCATTTGCCATATGAGTCTGTTGTTAGCTTACATGGTTGTGTTAGGCTGGTTCAGAAAAAGATGTATTTCTGGTACTGGGCTTGAGGAAGTAGCAGGTAAAGACTTGTCCATGGTTTTTCTCAAGAAGATTTCTATTGCCCTGTCTGGTCTTAAATTTCGTATCTTTTTTTTTTTTTAAGATTTTATTTATTTATTTGACAGAGAGATCACATGTAGGCAGAGAGGCAGGCAGAGAGAGAGAGAGAAGAGGAAGCAGGCTCCCCGCCGAACAGAGAGCCCAATGCAGGACTCGATCCCAGGACCCTGAGATCATGAGCTGAAGGCAGAGGCCTAACCCACTGAGCCACCGAGGTGCCCTTAAATTTCATTTCTTCCCGGCAAGGATGTCCTCCTAAAATTGCTCAAATCTTCTTTTTACTAATTCTGCCTGTTCTGTCTGTGATGTTTAGGTGGACAAATTGTATCTCACTTTTGATTGAAGCTAGCCTCTTCAACGTATCTATAGAATTCTGAATCTAGTTGTAGCCCTGATTTCTGAAGTTTTGTTTATTCAACCTGTGGTGTTTTGTTTTGTTTTGTTTTGCCTTCAGAGTTTTCTCTCGATTATGCTTTTATTCCACACAGGAATTTCAGGTGGATTTTGATGTATAGTTTCAATTTTGCTTTGTTGCAGATGGAAGTCTGTTTTTGATTTCTTCACAATGTCACAATATAGAGGTGGGAATGGGTTTCCTTAAGCAAAAAGAAGATTTAGAAAGTCACAGCCAGGACAAAAATATGCATGATCCCTCAGTCTCCCCATCGTCTCTGAGAGAGAGGCTTGCCACCATTATAACTTCTGAGGGACAAAGTACAGGTTCTGAGTAGGGCGTCTGATACAAAGTATGGGTTCTCAAGAAGGGAGTCATGTCAATGAGGGAAGAGGCAGGATACTTGGCATCAGGAAAGCTATTCCCAAGAGTTGCCAGCTGCTCTGTTTCTGGAGAGTTTGCATTCCTTGGCATTATCAGTCACGAGTACTGACAGACGAAGCTGGTCCTCCTGTAGGAAACTGAGTTGCTTGGATTTGGCTGCCATGCTGTAGAGAAGGGACAGCCTCAGTCTTAGGCAGCTCATTGTCCAATAACCCTGCATGAACTCACAAGTTCATATTCAGATAATTCTATTTAGTGCCACACTTCCCTTCCTCTCTCCTCTATCACATGACAGGAATAATAAACGTCCAAATTAAGAAAAACATTTTCTGATCGTTCTAGGGAGACCCAACCTGACCAAGTAGGAGACATTGAATGTGTTTTGCTCTTATTTGTTTATGTGTTTGTTTTGAGAGCTGACCCAAAAATGCTGCTGTGCGATAAGTTTTTAAAGAAATCCTCATTTAGGCACTCAATAAACATTTACAGAGCACAATACTCACAGGCAGACACTCATCTTTAAAGCACTGATTTTCCACAGTGGCAATGGATAAAATGGTATAAAGAGGGCCCCAAACTTCCGGTAGGCAAATTAGAATTACCTGTGAGGTTTTTTCAAACTCCATAGGTTTTTCTCCTTCTGACAAACCTCAATAAAAAGGCTCAACTCTGTGTTTGAAATCCCTGTACTAACGAACAACTTTTATTGTAAGGATTCTACAGTATGCCTCGCAGAGTTAGGGCAGAGAAGAAATGCAAGACTACTTTAAGAAGACTATTCCTGAATGTGACCCAAACAATAATTAACCCCTCCAAAAGAACCAAAAGCAGCAAATACTCGAAGTTTATATTTTGGTATAGTCTAGGGATAAAATAAAACAAAAAGTTTTATTGTATCATTTTTACATATAAATATAATTTTCTCCCATGTTTCTCTCTTTCTTACAACTATAGGTACAGAATGGGATGCATTCCTTCAATCTATCCAACTTCATGTAAGCAAATGGGCTTCTCATGCCCTTCCCGTGTGTGACTTCAGAGAAGCCAGTCTAACCCGGAAATACAACTATCATAAAGATGGCACCCCAAAGTTTCATGCTTTCCCCCAGGTACAAACACAAGATATCAGAACAATGGGATATTTTCCAAATAATTCCAAAATCTTATTTAAATCATGTGAGATAGGATATCTGTAGGCATGTTTTACAAAGTCATATTACTGTTTACCCTCAAAAAAAAATTTTTTTAAAGTCTTCACTAAATTGTTAATTGTTAGTCTGTACAGCTTGATAATTTGTCCTTTGTGAATCATTCGAAGCTTTATAGATTTAAGAAAAGCCAGAAAAAGCTACATATTCATCCAGATTACTGCAGTGTGTAAATTACATCCTGGGAGCGAATTAAGTATGCTGAACAGAGCATTAACTCCTTCTGGCCACAAGGGGGTCATTGAGGAAATTACTGCTCCAGCATAGATTAGAGCACTGCTGGGGCCAAAAAGAGTTAGAATATTTCCCCAACTTATAAAACTAACTCCCTAATGGTGATTTATACAGTTGTTGCTAATTTACATTTTTAAATGTTCTATTAGATTGTACGAGCTTGCTAGTTTTTCACTTCATTTTGTTTTGTTTTTAAGGAAAGGTTAAACTTTTAGTGTCCAGTCCAAACCTGCTTGAACTGGTTGTGGACAAACGTTAATTCTTCCAGGTAGTCACAGATGTTACTCAAATTAAAAAAAAAAAAAAATCCCTTGGTCAAATACATTGGGTAAAGACAATGTTACAAAAAGTTAAGCAACTCTTTTTAAATAAACAAGTTTGCACTCTTTAATAGATCCAATGAATTGTGAACTTCCAGAGATGAAATGTAAAACAGGATTTCTCAAACATCGATGACCAAGTTATTTTTATTTTATTAAAAAAATACTCTTTAGCATCTTAGAAAGCTTATTTCATAGAAAACAGCTTGTTGGAAACAGCTAGTCCTGTCTATTATACAATTTGGTATTTTCAAATCATTTTCCATTTACAAAGCACAGTCACAGAGTGTCACAGCAGCCTGAGAGCAAAGGCTGCACCCCTGTTTTCATCTCCACTCACAGAGATACAACTCTAACACATTTAATGACTACAAAACCCACACAAACAGGTATGAAAAATGGAAAGATAATCTCTTAGTTCCTAAGATTCTAAAGATATATTGGTAACATATTTTTCAATATTTGCCTTATATAATTATCATCATTATTTTTTAAATTATGTAAGACAAAATATAGAATAGCTCATTTATGTATCTTGAGATTCTATCTTAATTGCTATTTAAGAAGTTTGAACATGGCCAAGATCATGTCCTTTAAGACTAAAAGACTAAATAAAAAGCTGTGAATTTAAAAGTCATGATCTTGAATATGATGGAACCTTTTAATACAGGAATTAAAATAGAATCTAAAAATATACATATGTGATTATTGATGTCTTAGTGTGTGTAATCATAAGAGAATACTAATAAAAATTATATCAGGCAATCATTTAAACCATAAATAGAAAGAGGCTTAGAAAAACATGTATTTGATGGGGCGCCTGGGTGGCTCAGTGGGTTAAGCCACTGCCTTCGGTTCAGGTCATGATCTCAGGTTCCTGGGATCGAGTCCCACATCGGGCTCTCTGCTCAGCAGGGAGCCTGCTTCCCTCTCTCTCTCTCTCTCTGCCTCTCTGTCTACTTGTGATCTCTCTCTGTCAAATAAATAAATAAAATCTTTAAAAAAAAAAAAAGAATAATGAGGGTGCATCACACTCTTTAAAAAAAAAAAGAAAAACATGTATTTGAGAGAATATAAGTAATTGAACTGGAAAGAATTCAAATAAAAAAGGGCAACTGTAAAAAAAAAACTAGAAGGATAAACTGTACCTTTTATCAACAAGTGTCCATTAAGTGATAATTATTTACTAAAAAAAGTGATTCTGTAGTGCTTTTCTTACCCACTACATCAGTTATTGAAGGAATAAAAGACAGATTCCTCCCAGGCTCTCCTGGCTTCTTGGACCTTTCAGTTTTATAGAGAAATGATGCCTGTATGTAAATGATGAAAAAATAAGAAAAAATAAGCTGTCACAAGAAATCATAAGAAAAAAAATGTGCCGTGTGATTCTGGAAGTGATGGCGCCTCAGTTCAATCACTGGAATAGGAGGGAAGTTGAACTTGGGCGAAGTGTTAGCACTGGTCAGACATGAAAAATGAAGAGATAGAGGTGGTGGCTTAATTCTCAAGATGCTTGTCACTATCTGGAAGATGTATCTAAATCATATGAAAGGAAGATGTCAAGTGAGATTGGGTTAAAAGTCTTTGAATTAAAGTGATACATGTAATGGATTTATAGTTGAAAGAACTGTGGGATTGCTTCCAGGTCGAGTGGCCAGAGAACGTGTCACAGATGAGCACAGTCATAGTATTTGAATTTAGCTTTGAGGAACTCACTGAATTGTGGTAATGGAAGAGCAGGTGGGAAGGTATTATAGATTGGTGGGACAGCATTTAGTCATTCAATAAATATTTTTGAGTATCTACTATGTCTCTTCACTGTTTAGTTATAAAAATATTGAAATGTATAAGACACAATTTCTTCCCTCCAAGAATTAATGGAAGAGACAGAGGCACAAATACACATGTGTTTAAAGGAATATAAATGATTAAACAGGAAAGAATTCAAGCTGCAAAAGATTAGAATAGCAAATTGTGCCAGACTTCATATTCCTTGCTAGAAAGTTTAGAGTATAGGTTCTGAGAGGCCACTGAAAGTTTCTGAATAGAAAATCCTCATATACCTAGCAAAAACCTTCCTTTTTCTTCCTTAATCTATTGGGTTGAATGGCTATAGCTCAAGTAATTATTCTTCCTAAACACTTCATGTAATACATGTTCTCTGTTGTCAAAGAGTTTATTCTACACTAAGGAATTCACTGTGAGCACACAGCAAAAGCCATAAGGAAGTTGAATATAGGTGAGTTTATACTGATCTAAGACCAGGAAAGATAATGTGAAAAAAATTGAGCTTGAGAAAATCATCACATTTCAAATCATACATGAGTTGAGTAAAGAAAGGATCCCAAGCAGAATTTATTACCAAAGTCAGGGTATAAAGAAAGGAAAAGCCAGAGTAAGTTCATGGAAGGGAACAGCAGGAGATAAGACCATCCAGGGAAACTGGACCATTGGAAAGGGCTTTGGATTTCAGAGTAACTTTGTACTTCATTGCGGAGCAATAGAGAGCCATCGCAGTCACTGAAGTTTTACAATTAGAAAAGAGATACTGGGGCGCCTGGGTGGCTCAGTTGTTAAGCGTCTGCCTTCTGCTCTGGTCACGATCCGGGGGTCCTGGGATCGAGCCCCGTATCAGGCTCGCTGCTCTGTGGGAAGCCTGCTTCTCCCTCTCCTACTCCTCCTGCTTGTGTTCCCTCTCTGGCTGTCTCTCTCTGTCAAATAAATAAATAAAACCTTAAAAAGAGAGAGAGAGAGCTAGAGGGATACTGTCAGTGGGTTTAAGAAGATTAACAACTTCTTAAAAGGGTTTCTATGAGGAATAAATGATTTAATACATATAGAGGTGAGAATACTGCTCAGCATGTCAGTATTTCAAATTTTTTATCATTGGAGATATTTTTCCAAGTTTGTTTTTGTTATTTTTTTTCTTCAAATTTGAATTTCATTTGTATGTAGGGAAAGTCCATTTGTTTATAGAAATACTGTATCTGTCTCTATAGTCTTGACACTTTATCTTTTTATAGTTACTTATTTTTTAGGGCTTCTAGATTTCTGACTTGGTTACGAAGAATTCTCCTTCCCAAGATTGTGTAAGTAGAGTCTCAGTTTTTTTTTTTCTGTTTCTAAAGATATTTTGTTATTGTTTTATATTTTACATTTAAAATTTTTAATGTGAGGAGGGGGGACACCTGGGTGGCTCAGTCAGTTAAGCATCTGCCTTCAGCTCAGGTCATGATCTCAGGGTCCTGGGATTGAGCCCTGCATTGGCTCCCTACTCAGCAGGGAATCTGCTTCTTCCTCTCCCTCTGCCCCTCCCCCTGCTTGTACTCTCTCTCTCTCTCTGTCTTTCAAATAAATAAGTAAAATTTTTTTAAAAATGTGATAGGGAACTATATTCTTTTCCATAGGAAGATGGAGTTGTGTCAGCACCATTATTACATAATCTGTTTCATTCTGAGTCCCTGTAACACTATTTTCATGTTACCTTCATAGAGAGAATACCTTGAATTATCTATTCTGTTGATGTGGTATCCATTCTTAGGCTAATATGATATTGATTTCCTTACAGTAGATTCATAGTTATTTCAAATACCTCATAATGAAAATCCTTTATACTTTTTTTTTTATAATTTCCTTCACTACAATGGAGCATTTCTCCTTTTATAGGGATTTTAAAATAGTTTTGTCTAATTCCAAAATGAATCATTATGGGGGATTCTAATTGAAATTGCATTAAACTTATCAATTAATTTTGGGAAAAATAACATACTCTTAAGATTAATTCTTCCACTCTGAGTAGATCTATATCTGTCTAGTTCTCTCACAGCTTATTTGCTTCAAAATCATTATGTATCATTGTGTTTTCTTATGAGTCCTGTTAACTATTGTGAATAATTTTTTTTTAATTTTCAAATTTCTATTTTCAGATACTTTATAGTTAGTCTGGATAACATGCACTGATACTGGCAATTGTATAATATAATATTACTTATTAATTAGACTGGGCTTAGCTAAATGGTTCTCCTGCTGAGCTCAGCTGTGATCAAACAATGACGATATCAGCGAGGTGTCTCTACCTTAGGATGCTGGCTTATCAAAATGTCTTATTAGTTATAGACTTTTGGTGTGTCCTTTTGCCTGTTTGTTTTAAACTAGCTATATCTGGAGAGGCAAACATATCATCAGAAAAACAAACCTTCTCTCTTCTTTTACAATGCTTATTTGAATTTTTAATTTCTGCCACACTGAATTCACTGATAGCTCCAAGATAACCTTAAGGAATAATGGTGTTAGAGCCCATCCCCTTCTGCATCCTGATTTTGGTTACATGCTTCTAGTGTTACATTATCCAAAATAATACCTGTTGTTGATACAATAAATAATAAAATACCATACCATGGTCTCTATTTCTCAAGCAAATAATTATGGCTAATTTTCAGGCTGGAAATTCTTAAGATTGTTCTTCAAATTTTAAGAGAAGGAAATATACATTTCCAAAAAGTGACTTGAGAAAAATCCCAACATATAAGCCCCAAGTTCAGTCATTACTTCTAGGACATTTTTTGTATTCCTAAAAAAATCCTACCTTGATTCATATGCCATCCCATAGGCCATACCAACCCTGTGGTGGTTTCCTTCTGGCCTGGCAGGCCACATTTTCAGTACAGCCCCAGTGTACGACCCCTGCCACATAAGCTAAGACTACCAGAAAACACCTGCCCTTTTTAACTAAGGTAGATAAAGGGGAGTTAATTTTAAAAAGAGGATGCCTTCCACTCTTCTAATATTCCTGCCTTTTTAAATAATTCAGGCAAGAACTCAGTTAACTAAAATGAGAAAGTAGTCCTCATTCTTCTAATTTTCCTAGAGGTTCAAGAACTCCATAATTAGCAACTGCTATGTGAGAAGACAGAGGGTAGTTCCTTCTTCACCCATCACCTCCTCCTTGATGTCCTAGGACACCATCATTCTCTCCTCCTCCCACCTTCCAGTAATCTCCATCCAAACCCTAACAGATCCTGGCTATTTATTCTAAGCATTCCTGGCCCAAGATAAAAATCTCCAGGCTAGAGGCACCTGGGTGGCTCAGTCATTAAGCATCTGACTTCAGCTCAGGTCATGATTCCAGGATCCTGGGATGGAGACCCCACATCTGGCTCCCTGCTCAGTGGGAATCCTGCTTCTCCCTCTCCCAATCCCCCTGCTTGTGTTCCCCCTCTCGCTGTGTCTCTCTCTGTCAAATAAATAAAATTTTTAAGAAAAAAAAAAAAAATCTCCAGGCTATCCAACTCACCCTCTGTGCTTGATTTTTTTTTTAAGACTTGTTTAATTATTTTAGAGAAGGGAGGGAGGGCCTCTGGGAGAGGGAGAAGTGTCTTCAGCAGACTCTGCACTGAGTGCAGAGCCCAGTCTCATGGCCCTGAGATCACCACCTGAGCTGAAACCAAGTCAGACACTTAACCAACTGAGCCGTCCAGGTGTCCCTCACCCTCCATGCTTTAAAGGGCTTACCATGTGGTTAACTGCAAAAAAAAAAAAAAAAAAAAAAAAAAAAAAAAAAAAAAAAAGCCATGGCTTCCCTTCCTTGTACTCGTGCCCATTGGTAGTGCTCACCCCATGCTGCTTGAGCTCTCTCTAGTGATTTGCCTTGGAAACAGAGAATTAGCAAATGTGATCAAAAAGAAGGTTCAGGAAGCCTGCAGGGGTTTCCTCTGGTGTCCCAAGCCCAAGCCACCATCGCACCAAGCCCAAGTTAGTCTGCTGGGGGAAGAGTCCAGTCACCTCTGACATCCCAGCTCATAGCCAGGTGCATCCCAGATGCAGGGGGACCTAGTGACTGCAGTCACATTTGTGAGCCCAGCCAATTCCAGCAGAAAAACCAGTCAACTAAGCCAGCCTAACTTGCCAACACACAGAATCATAAAATAAAGACATGGTTATTGCTTTAAGCTTCTAAGTTTTGGTGTGGTTTTTGCACAGTGATATCTAGCTGATAAACAGCATTGTTATTCCAGCTGGCAAATGCGGCCCTAGAGCCAGCAGGGAGAAGACCTCTACACCATCTCTTACAAAATAGGACAGAGATGCTCCGAAGGATATGGGCACAGATTTGGAGGCAGTGTAGAAGGATGTTGCCTGCATCTCACTGCCACCACAGTGCACGTTTTGCCAGTGGAGTGGTTGGTTAGGGTTCCTAGAGATTGCTGTATATTATTGGGCAGAGGAGAGAAAATTAGCATAGGCACTGTCTATGGCAAAGAACAGAGCAAGGCACAGTGGGAAAAGGAAATAAATGCAAAAAGTAGGGCTCAGACAGAGGCACTGAAAGACCCAGAAGGCATACCGGGAAAGAAGGTGTGAGAAAACATTGTAGACAGATCTCTAAGGCCGGTATTTGTCTAGATTTTCTCTTTCAGTATCAGTCGCCAAGTGAATGAATTTACTTACAATGCTAAAGATTTATACCTTTGAATTCTTAGGTGCTTCAGAAGGAGAATGGGTAAACATTATTTTTTCAGGAAGCTTGTACAGTCTCAGATGATATAGACTTGTACTTACTAGAACAAACTCTAACACTATTTTTTTTTTAACCCGAAGACCCTGCTTGCTCAGCACTTCAACTATGTCAGGGTCAATATTTCTACTGTTCACTTGGCAATGCCTCATGGTCATGGTATTGTGGCCACCGCTTCAGCCATCACTTCTACCATCGCTTCTTCATTCAAAGCTGAAAGACGGGAAACAGTCTTTCTAAATGAGTACATTTAGTAAATTGAGGTAATTTGGGAAACATTTAAAGGAAAGCAAAAGCTTTCCCAGACCTTGCACTCTCCAACTTTCTTTTATGTTTATTGGCCAAAATTAGGTCATATTGCCAGCTCTAGCTACAAAGAAGGCTGGGGAAGTGGAGAACCTGAATGTCGTGATTCTCAGAGCCCCATCAGAAAAAAGCAGTGCCTAGTGTGGAAAGCTACAAGATGTATTTGATCCCCTATGTCTATCATATAACATCATAAACTCATACATATATTATATGCATATTTATCTTAAGGTTGGATGTCTCAAAAAATCAAGAGCTGTATGATGACTAACTTTGGTCCATTTTCTTCCAGCATTAAATTTAGAATAGCTCTGTGAAATATACGTGGCCCTCTTGATGGGGCCTGGGCAAACTTTCTTTAAGAACTCTATAGTAAATATTTTAGGATTTACAGCCACACTGTGTTATCACAACCACTCAGCTCTGTTGTTACACTGTGAAAGCATGTCTTTTCATGAATGGTTGTTGAATTATCTGAAATTCCCTTTTAGCATCAATGGAAATCAGCTCATTTATTCTCTTTAGATCCATTAATATGATGAATTCTATATTGGATTTCCTGTATTTCAAACATCTTTAGATTTCCTGGCATAAAGTCCACATATTCATGTTATATTTTTGTGCACTGTTGAATTATGTTTGCTCACAATCTAACTGAGATTTTTGTATCAACCACAAGTGAAGTAGGTCTGTGTTCCTTTTATGTGCAATCTTTATCAGTTTTAGGAGTGATTTTTAACATGATAGAAAGGGACTAATTCTGAGAGATGACTGTAAAATGTTACAAAGCATAAGGTTCTTTTCTCCTTTTTGCTTGATGGGATGATATCCTCTATGAGCTAAATGGGAGAGATACATGCCCTTCTCCCTTGGTTACCAATGAGGCATTATGCCAACAATAAAATCATCTACAGTTTTGCAGGCCAGAACAACATATCTCTCTCAGGTCCCAGATGGGCCACAAGAAGTCGTGCTGGTAAGAGAGCACTTTTGTGTGTGTCTCTCATAAAACAGATGTAATATGATGTCAAAGGCTAGAATGAATTTATACACATTTCCATTCTAATGTGAAAATATATCCAACATCTCAAGCTCAGTTTTCAGTACCCAGTGTTTGAGATTGGCCTTGGTCTTCAGATATGCTGTGATCATTGGATCAGGTGCCTTTCTTGGAATAATGGGGGAAGAGGAAAGAAATATTCCCAGGTGTTAATGTAACAGAGAATAAAATCAAAATATTAGGATTGAGGAATTAGAGCCATGTTGCAAATGCACCTAAAGTAGCTCCTTTTTCTTAAATTATTATGTCCACTCAATCGTAACTGCTTTTTCATGGGCATATGATTGTGCACCAGTGTGCCCACTTAGTATACTTTGATCATGCATGTTTTCATCTTAAATAACTTAAAAATATTAACTGCATGTATTTTACACATAAAATTTGTTCCTTTGCTCATGTTGAGCTTTTTGCATGAAATTCCTAGTTTAAAGGCTAAGTTTATAGTAATTGACTCATTGTATTTTTTACTACAAAGACATAATACAACAGTATTGCTTGTGTATAGCTCGTTTTCAGTTGTGCTTAAAGATAATCACTGTCTGTAGTACCATCTAATAATAATCATCAATATTCAATAAGTGTTTATTTGCAAATTTTTTATGTGATTATAAAATCAATGAGGTGCTTCGATCAAACAAATATAAGAACAGAGATATAGACAGAGGTAGATTTATACAGAGGCCTCCTGCCCTCTAGGATGGAGTTACCGGCCAAAATATACATAGCAAGGATATCCCAGGGCCAGCAAGTTTTCATCAAAAGAACTTCCAAATCTGGGGCACCTGGGTGTCTCAGTCAGTTAAGCGTCTGCCTTCGGCTCAGGTCGTGATCCCAGGGTCCTGGAATGGAGCCCCCCTCTGACTCCCTGTTCAATGGGGAGTCTGCTTCTCCCTCTCCCTCTGCCCACAACCACTGCCTGCTTTACCTGGTTCGTGCACACTCTTTCTCTCTGAAATAAACAAATAAAATCCTTAAAAATTTTTTTAATAAAATAAAACAAATATAAAAATAAAAAAAACACTTTTGTATAAGAGAGCTGACACAAAATAGTATCTTAAAGTCTACAAAACCTCTGGCTTAGCCAGGAAAAGAATATGGAACCGGGCTTACGCTATTGCCACAGACTATCCGTTAATGTTACTTTTTGTGTTAGAAAACAAAGGGGAGAAAAAGGATCTGGTTAATTCATGAAAATGAACTACAGTTATTTTAAAACAAGTTTTAGGTAGATTTTCTAGGGAGTTTACTCCTAACATTAAGGGAAGTTTTAAACAGAGCATTGTATATTATATATATATATAGAGAGAGAGAGAGAGAAAGAACTGTTCTCTCATTAAGATAAAAGACATTTTTAAAGCAATGTAAACCATGTTGCTCTAGGTTATCAGCTCCTTTCCTCCCTTAATTCTACGGGTACTTGACTCCATCCCAGAAACCCAAGTTAGTGGGCACATCTTAAGCCTCACTGTCTCCCAGAAGGGTTTTGCAGACATGAGTTGTCCAGTTCTTCCAGCCTTTTTGCCTGCATTCTTTCACTTTAATTAGACTTTAAATTTCTTGACCCTTCTATTTTTATCCTATTGTTTCTCTTTTATCTTCACTTTCTTCCCAAATCATGTGACCCACGTCCTCAACTATACCCTTTTTGGGGTCCTGATTTTCCTGGTTTTCTGCTCACTTCATAAAACCTGGCTCAGAGAAACATTCCAACCCAACCAATCCATTCCAATGCCTGCTACTGCCTTCAACCTTGGCATCCTCCATGTTTTTTTTCTGGGAATGAGCTCCAATATCTAGCAACTTCTCTGCTTGGCTCTTTCTAATAAGGAAGAACTGAAAACCCTGTACCACTTGTTTTGTTTGTTTGTTTGTTTTGACTCCTGATTTTAATATCCAATTTTTCTTTTCCATTTAAAGCAGTTTTCGTTGGCTGGGAAGCCTGGCCTCCCAAAACCAGGGTCCATTAGAGCTGGTGGTTGTTGGAAGGGGTTGGGGTGGGGGCAGGGATGGGGGCAGGGAGACCCTGCTCTGTTGGCAGTCTTGGGTGGAGAAGACGAATTGCTCTTCAGAGAGCCTGGGGTGTAGTGGGAGGGGGATGAGGCAGGAGATCAATCCCATCTGCCTTCTGGGCATTCTACTGGTCTTTCTGCACAGCTGAAAAATGATGCAATCACCAGATCTGGCAACACTGGAGCCCACTGGGCAGCTTTAGTCAGGCTTTCCCAGCTGCCTGTCATTCCTAGATTTCCCTCCTCTGCCCCCTTTACAAAGTGGCTGTTCCAAAACCTATCTCCTCCTCTCAGGCACCCTATCCTTATCATCACCTCCCTTTTCCTCCCCTTACCATGAAGTTACTCCCATCCACAACAATCTTCTCTCCTTCTCTCTGCTGGGAATGGAAGCAGCAGTCTAATTCCTGCTCCTGTGTTCTGGCTCCCAGCCTCTCCCCGCCTCCTCAGAGAATTCATCCCTTCAATTATACTTTATGATTCAATTATATTTCATTACATTGCTCAACTCCTTCTTTAAATTCTTTATTTTGCTTCTGTAAACCTACACTTTTAGAGTTTTCTTCTCATGTCCTGGGTCATTCCTTTTCCATCTGATTTCTGATGACTCTTCTGATGACTCCACAGGTGCTAAAGTGTGTGTGTGTGTGTGTGTGTGTGTGTGTGTGTGTGTTAGAATTCTGCATCTTGCCATCAAGGATCCTGTCCCTGTCATTCTAGCTGAGTGCTGCATTCCTCTGCTATGTTCATAGTTGACATTGACATGATATATTGACTTTCTTATTTCTATGTCTTCAAATTTCTCCTGAATTTTAGATCAATATATTCAATATTTACTGAATATCTGTCAATTTATTGACAGCTCAGTTGCCAACACTGAGGTCAGTTTTCCAGTTACCCCCCAAAATTTCTGTTACCTCTGTGGTTCCCTCTTGTAGAAGGATACCAGCATCCACCCCATGCCCAAGCCAGAAACCCTAGAGTTATCTTTGATGTCTCCCTCCTTCTATCACTGTATTTAATTAATCACCATAGCCTATTGATGTCTTCTAGAAATGTCTTTATTTTGTCCATTTTTTATTATACCCACTGCACTTCTTTGGCATAAATCCTCATCCTTTTTCATCTATAGTACAAGAACTTTCTAACTGGTCTCCTGCCTTCAGCCATGCCTCCTATTAATCTGATAATTTCTAAAATTTAAATTGCTCAGTGATTCTCCATTGCTCTTAGAAAAACATGCAAGTTTTCTAGAATGTAAGGAATTCTCTAAGCAATCTGTCGTTACCAGATGTGCCATCATTATGTCTGTCTTTCTTTGCCTTCAAGCTGTTGATGTGCTACTTTCTCTGCCTGACAGACACTAAAACAAATAGGCCTAATTGTCTGCCTTCATTTAGGATTTCATTCAGATGTCACCTCTTTTAGGAAGATTTTTCTGATCTCTCCAAAGTTAAGCTGCACGTCCCTTCTATTACACCACATGCTACCATGATATCTAAAAAGGGGAACATTGCCTTCATATGCTATATGCAATTTCTCCAAGTTCCCACATGCCAAAATATCCTTCAAATATCTCTGCCTCAGTTTCCCCTTCCTTTAGTCAAAGAAGGTGAGATGTCTTTCCTCCTTTAGTTTAAAGCTAACTCTTCACTCTACACTCAGGATTCCATCCTCTCATGCTTCTTGCCACTCAGATCCACCAATGTTCCTTTACCTCATAAATTCACACTGAGTGAAAAATACTGGAACTTGAACTCTATTGGCTCCTCTCAAGCATGTGCTCTATAAAGTCTCTTTCTTCTTTAAACCCTCCCCTTTTACCTTGCTCATAAATTATACCTCTTTCTCCTTCCTGTCTTGCAAGAATAGATAATATTCTCTGCATCATTTCCTCACCTGATTTTACTCCTCAAGCCACTGTTGGAACTTCGTATGTTTGTTTGTTTTCCAGTTTCACCAGAGACTTCCTAGTGGCCAAACGCTTTGTACCTTGTTCATCCCTTTCCTGCTCAGTCTGTCTACTGTATTTGACACTTGGTCAGTCTTGCATTTTTAATAATCTTTCCTCCTTCAGAATCTATAACACCCTAACATCTTGATTTTTTCCCCTTGTATTTCAACTTACTCTTTCATGGCCTCATTTTCATGCTTCTCTTCTGACTGACCTTTAAGAGTCAGCGTCCCGGAGTGTACAACTTTTGGCCTGGCCCCCTTCTTGGTCCCTTCTCTCTCCCAGTGCGATCTCATTCAAGCCACTTCCTGCTTGTGGCTTTCTTGAATTTCAAAATATATATCCATATTCTTTCTCGAAGTCATAGACTTCTGGATGACCTACAACATCCATTCAACTTCCGTTCTACTGAATTCATTATTATCCCTTGTCACCCACAACCGACTTTCCTAAATTTTCTGTTTCAGTGAGTTTGACATGCTTAGACCTAGAAAGAAAGGAAAACAGGGGCGCCTGGGTGGCTCAGTGGGTTAAGCCTCTGCCTTTGGCTCAGGTCATGATCTCAGGGTCCTGGGATCGAGCCCTGCATCAGGCTCTCTGCTCAGCAGGGAACCTGCTTCCCCCCACCCCCTTCTCTCTGCCTCTCTGCCTACTTGTGGTCTCTGTCTGTCAAATAAATAAATAAAATCTTTAAAAAAAAAAAAAAGGAAAGAAAGAAAGAAGAAAGGAAAACAAAATAAAACCTGACCTTGATTTGGGCTTGTGCTTCTCTTTCTTGATCCCTTCACTTTCCTCCCAAATCAATTCTAGTTTTCCAGCTTTCTCAGTATTCCTCAAATGTCGCTCTGCGTAATCATTGCCACCACTTTGTCCAGGCCCTCTTGATTTTTGAGAAATATTGCAGTATCTGACTACCTCACTCCTGCTTCCAGCTTCCCTACTTCTAAGCAATG